CCTCTACTAAGAACACCTCTACTAAGAACACCTCTACTAAGAACACCTCTACTAAGAACACCTCTACTTAGAAGACCTCTACTAAGAACACCTGGACTAAGAACACCTCTACTAAGAACACCTCTACTAAGAACACCTCTACAAAGAACACCTCTACTAAGAACACCTGGACTAAGAAATCCTGGACTAAAAACACCTCTACTAAGAACACCTGGACTAAGAAAACCTGGACTAAGAACACCTCTACTAAGAACACCTCTACTAAGAACACCTCTACTAAGAACACCTCTACTAAGAAGACCTCTACTAAGAACACCTGGACTAAGAAAACCTGGACTAAAAAACCTTGACTAAGAACACCTCTACTAAGAACACCTCTACTAAGAACACCTCTACTAAGAAGACCTCTACTAAGAACACCTGGACTAAGAAAACCTGGACTAAAAAACCTTGACTAAGAACACCTCTACTAAGAACACCTCTACTAAGAACACCTCTACTAAGAACACCTCTACTAAGAAGACCTCTACTAAGAACACCTGGACTAAGAAAACCTGGACTAAAAAACCTTGACTAAGAACACCTCTACTAAGAACACCGGGACTAAAAACACTTAGAAAGGCGCAGGTATACTAGACATCCGACGTATAGATTATACTAGATTTTCACTGTATGGAGTCATACTAGACATCTGATTTATAGAGTCATGCTAGATTTTCACTTCATGGAGTCATAATATACGTCCGCCTTATGGAGTCATATTAGACTTCCACCTCAAGAAGTCATACTAGACTTCCGCGTTTTGAAGTCATACAAGATTTTTACTCTATGGAGACATATAAGACCACCCCCCCCCCCCTTATGAAGTCATACTAGCCTATTGGAGTTATAGTAGATGTGTACTTTATGGGCTCATACTAGACCGGCCTTATAGTCATACTAGGTTTGCGCGGCGTCCGTGGCTAAGGCGTTGCGAGTCTGACTTGTAATCCAACTGCGGGCTGAGTTGATTTTTATCGTGGTATGGGACGTCGCAGGTCGACCCAGCCTCAAATTGGTACCAGGATAGGGTGTCCTGGGAAAGTAAAGACGGCCGGCGTAATACTGACCACATTACCCAACGGGTGCCGATTGGTCTTTAAAAATATTTGTGCTCTTCCCATATGCCCGATGCGCCTAAGGTCGTGTAACGGGATTTTTACTTTTTTTTTTTAAACTAGATTTTCACTTCATGGAGTCACACTATACTTTCGCCTTATGGAGTCATACTAGATTTTTACTTTTTTTTAGTCATACTAGACTTTCGTCTTATAGAGTAGAGTCATTCTAGATTTTCACTTTATGGAGACATACTAGACTTCTGCCTGACAGAGGTTTACATAACATAAAAATGACCACAAGTGACATTTTTCCAGAATTTATGCCTTTCGCGTTTGGCCAAAATCATATTTTCCAAAAAGTTGCCAATTTAGTCTCAGTCTATCATTTCACACTTGACGAGATACTCTAGATGAGAAATTGGACACTTTGGAGCTCATAGGTGACAGAAACATAGATAAGATAAAAGTGAAAAACAAATTTTACGAAGAATTGTTCCTAACAACTTGTTTGTGTCCTACCACTAAACATTGAGTCCCAGACAATTATTTTACACATGAATAGACACGCTAGATGCAGTGTAGGTAAACTGATGTCTGATTTGTCATTTTGGTACAATCTGGGGGCAACAATTGAGATAAAATAAAAATGACCACAAGTGACATTTTTCCAGAATTTATGCCTTTCACGTTTGGCCAAAATCATATTTTCCAAAATGTTGCCAATGTAGTCTCAGTCTATAATTTCACACTTGATGAGATACTCTAGATGAGAAATTAGACACTTTGGAGCTCATAGGTGACAGAAACATAGATAAGATAAAAGTGAAAAACAAATTTTACAAAGAATTGTTTCTAACAACTTGTTTGTGTCCTACCACTAAACATTGAGTCCCAAAAATTTTTTTTACACATGAATAGACACGCTAGATGCAGAGTAGTTAAACTGGATGTCTGATTTGGCATTTTTGTACAATCTGAGGGCAATAATTGAGATAACATAAAAATGACCACAAGTGACAATTTTGCAGAATTTATGCCTTACGTGTTTGGCCAAAATAATATTTGCAAAAAAGTTGCCAATGTAGTCTCAGTCTATAATTTCACACTTGACGAGATACTCTAGATGAGAAATTGGACACTTTGGAGCACATAGGTGACAGAAAAATAGATAAGATAAAAGTGAAAAGCAAATTTTACGAAGAAATGTTCCTAACAACTTGTTTGTGTTCTACCACTAAACAGTGAGTCCCAGACAATTATTTTACACATGAATAGACACGCTAGATGCAGAGAAGGAAAACTGAATGTCTGATTTGGCATTTTGGTATATTCTGTGGGCAACAATTGAGATAACATAAAAATGACCACAAGTGACATTTTTCCAAAATTTATGCCTTTCGCGTTTGGCCAAAGTCATATTTTCCAAAAAGTTGCCAATTTAGTCTCAGTCTATAATTTCACACTTGATGAGATACTCTAGATGAGAAATTGAACACTTTGGAGCTCATAGGTGACAGAAACATAGATAAGATAAAAGTGAAAAACTAATTTTACGAAGAATTGTTCCTAACAACGTGTTTGTGTCCTACCACTAAACATTGAGTCCCAGACAATTATTTTACACATGAATAGACACGCTAGATGCAGTGTAGGTAAACTGAATGTCTGATTTGTCATTTTGGTACAATCTGGGGGCAACAATTGAGATAAAATAAAAATGACCACAAGTGACCCCAGAATTTATGCCTTTCACGTTTGGCTAAAATCATATTTTCCAAAATGTTGCCAATGTAGTCTCAGTCTATAATTTCACACTTGATGAGATACTCTAGAAGAGAAATTGGACACTTTGGAGCACATAGGTGACAGAAAAATAGACAAGATAAAAGTGAAAAACAAATTTTACGAAGAAATGTTCCTAACAACTTGTTTGTGTTCTACAACTAAACAGTGAGTCCCAGACAATTATTTTACACATGAATAGACACGCTAGATGCAGACTAGGAAAACTGAATGTCTGATTTGGCATTTTGGTACATTCTGTGGGCAACAATTGAGATAACATAAAAATGACCACAAGTGACATTTTTCCAGAATTTATGCCTTTCGCGTTCGGCCAAAATCATATTTTCCAAAAAGTTGCCAATTTAGTCTCAGTCTATCATTTCACACTAGACGAGATACTCTAGATGAGAAATTGGACACTTTGGAGCTCATAGGTGACAGAAACATAGATAAGATAAAAGTGAAATACAAATTTTACGAAGAATTGTTCCTAACAACTTGTTTGTGTCCTACCACTAAACATTGAGTCCCAGACAATTATTTTACACATTAATAGACACGCTAGATGCAGAGTAGTTAAACTGGATGTCTGATTTGAAATTTTTGTACAATCTGGGGGCAACATTTGAGATAACATAGAAATGACTACAAGTGACAATTTTGCAGAATGTATGCCTTACGCGTTTGGCCAAAATAATATTTGGAAAAAAGTTGCCAATTTAGTCTCAGTCTATCATTTCGCACTTGACGAGATACTCTAGATGAGAAATTGGACACTTTGGAGCTCATAGGTGACAGAAACATAGATAAGATAAAAGTGAAATACAAATTTTACGAAGAATTGTTCCTAACAACTTGTTTGTGTCCTACCACTAAACATTGAGTCCCAGACAATTATTTTACACATGAATAGACACGCTAGATGCAGAGTAGGTAAACTGAATGTCTGATTTGGCATTTTGGTACAATCTGGGGGCAACAATTGAGATAACATAAAAATGACCACAAGTAACATTTTTCCTAAATTTATGCCTTTCACGTTTGGCCAAAATCATATTTTCCAAAATGTTGTCAATTTAGTCTCAGTCTATAATTTCGCACTTGATGAGATACTCTAGATGAGAAATTTGACACTTTGGAGCTCATAGGTGACAGAAAAATAGATAAGATAAAAGTGAAAAGCAAATTTTACGAAGAAATGTTCCTAACAACTTGTTTGTGTTCTACCACTAAACAGTGAGTCCCAGACAATTATTTTACATATGAATAGACACGCTAGATGCAGAGTAGGAAAACTGAATGTCTGATTTGGCATTTTGGTACATTCTGTGGGCAACAATTGAGATAACATAAAAATGACCACAAGTGACATTTTTCCAGAATTTATGCCTTTCGCGTTTGGCCAAAAACATATTTTCCAAAAAGTTGCCAATTTAGTCTCAGTCTATCATTTCACACTTGACGAGATACTCTAGATGAGAAATGGACACTTTGGAGCTCATAGGTGACAGAAACATAGATAAGATAAAAGTGAAATACAAATTTTGCGAAGAATTGTTCCTAACAACTTGTTTGTGTCCTACCACTAAACATTGAGTCCCAGACAATTATTTTACACATTATTAGACACGCTAGATGCAGAGTAGTTAAACTGGATGTCTGATTTGGCATTTTGGTACAATCTGGGGGCAACAATTGAGATAACATAAAAATGACCAGAAGTGACAATTTTGCAGAATTTATGCCTTTCACGTTTGGCCAAAATCATATTTTCCAAAAAGTTGCCAATTTAGTCTCAGTCTATAATTTCACACTTGATGAGATACTCCAAATGAGAAATTTGACACTTTGGAGCTCATAGGTGACAGAAAAATAGATAAGATAAAAGTGAAATACAAATTTTACGAAGAATTGTTCCTAACAACTTGTTTGTGTCCTACCACTAAACATTGAGTCCCCAACAATTATTTTACACATGATAGACACGCTAGATGCAGAGTAGGTAAACTGAATGTCTGATTTGGCATTTTGGTACAATCTTGGGGCAACAATGGCAATTGAGATAACATAAAAATGACCACAAGTAAACATTTTTTCCTAAATGTATGCCTTTCA